AGGACAGAGAGGTGGCAGGTGAAGAAGGGTTAAGAAGGGTCACTACGGTACCCACTCCCGGGAGGGTCAGAAATGTGCATTCTTTCTCAGTGAGGAAGGTTTTGAAAGAACGACCCCAGCTCCTGGTGGCTCCTGGCCCCAGGGGAAGGTGACAGGCTGGGCAATGACACCCAGTCCCCTCCTGGCCTGTTGGATTCTTTAGCTACAGTAAGTTCTGCCTTATCCTTTTTTTTTTTATCTTTTGGTAAAATTCTATGGTTTTTAATATAAGGATCTCACATTTTAAAATAATTGTTATTCATGATCGGCTTAGTTTTTAGGATGAATGTTTTCTGCACTGTATTTTCTAAGTGCCCATTTGTGGTGAACAGTAAAATATTAATGCTTTACAATCGCTTTTGTGTTTGGCCACTTTATTATGTGCTGTTATTTTTGTTATTAATTCCCATTTGACTTGTTCCGGTTTCTAAGAACAACATCGCATTAGATTGATATGACAATTATTTGTCCATCACTATAGAAATAGTTCTTTTATCCTGATTTTGTATTTTATTCCAGTGGTTATAATTATAAAAATAAATATTCTTAACAAAGAAAAATGGATGCATCCATACACGGTGGGAGAGAATGCTGTTTTGTATCAGGTCCACCTCCCATTTTGAGATGTTTTGTATGTTTGTTTTATGTTTTTTTTCCTTGAAGACTTACTTTAAAATTTTTATTCACTTACTTTTAGATCATTTTTGTAGCAACTATGTCATGATCTAGTAGTCTTTTTTTTTTTTTCCTGGTACTGAGGATCAAACTCCGGTCCTTGCGCTTGTGCAGCAGGTGGCGAAACCACTGAGCTAAATCTCCAGCCCATGATCTAGTAGTCTTAATGCTTAATATACCTTTCCAATAGTGAAGGAATTTTCTTCACTTCTTAATCTGAAATATATGTAGATTACACATTTCCTGGGCTTCTCTAACTGGGAGTATATTGTTTGCTTCTTCGACTGTAAGTAATAACTTGGTAGCTTGGGTGGATGTAGAATTATGATACAATCTTCCCCAAGAACTTTGTGGATTTTGCTCCATTTTCTTCGCTACGGAGTGTGGCAGAGAACAAGTCTAAACACACCTAGACACCTTGTCCTCCATGCTTGAAATCCATACTTTTCACCCTCTCTAAGTGTTAGAAAACTTTTTCACTAACTTTGCCTTATCTTAGGTTGCTGTCTTTGATTTGAAGAAATGGATTTTTACTCGGGACGAAAAAGTTTTCTCCTATTTTGTTTTATAATTACGTAAGTTTAATGTATTCGGAACCTCTTCTCCAGAGAGAATAATGCAGAGTTTAATATTTGATGTCCTCTCATTCTGACTCTCATGATTTTACTTCTTGTCCTTTCTCTACATCCTTGGAGCTCTTCTCAACCTGATTCTCAATACTGACTGGATTTGGTGCATTACTAAATAGTTTACCATCTCCCCTTGTCCCTTCTTTTCATTCATAGTTCTCTTTGTCTCAGTTTAAAACCCCATTTCTTCTCTTACCACCTGAGCATCCTTGATTATGATATTAGCTCTTCTGTTCTCCATTCTTCTTATCGATGAAACAAGGATAAGAGTTGTTTGTGTAGAATGAAATGGAGCTTGCAGGTAAGTATCTACGGAAATGTGCATCCGTAGAATAAGTATCCACAGAAATGTGTCAATGAATTTTAGCTCTAATTATTGTTATCATCACCTCTGCCTTTCAGAAATATTTTCCTTTAAGCTGTTGCAATGTCATTTCTCTCTCTCTCTATGTGTATGTGTTTATGGAAATCATATTTCATTATATTTTGGGGGAGTACAACTAAAATGTACTAGTGTTGTAAATATTTCCCCAAATCATCGCCTTAGGTCCAGTGAACCCTTCTTTATGTTGCAGAATATATTCACAAGCCTCAGATTGTTGCTGTTGTTAATTTTTCTACTTGTACCACATTGTCCAAGGAGCAATCTCTGGAAGTAGATGGGATGAGTTAGTCCTCTTTGGTCACCCTAAATATCTACTCAGGAGCTTTCAGAATCTTTCCCTCAATTTCAAATCTAAAGATTTAAAAATTTAACATTTTCCTCTATCTTCCATGTTGGTTCATGTGCATATATGTAGTGAAATTTCAGGAGGAATAAAATCACTTAAAAATCACTCTCAAAGCTTTTCACCCTCTCTAAGTGTTAGAAAACTTTTTCACTAACTTTGCCTTATCCCAGGTTGGTGTCTTTGATTTGAAGAAATGGATTGAAGAACTAGGATTACACACCTGTAACCCTAGTGCTCTGGGAGGCTGAGGCAGGAGGATTGAAAGTTCAAGCCCAGCCTGGGCAGTTTGAAGACTTAGCAAGACCTTCGCTTCCAATGAAAAGCAAACAGAGATGGGAGTTATAGCTCAGGGGAAAGGTCCTGGTCTTTTCAGACTATCCCACTCTACTGAAGGGAATGCATTCTTAGATAATTTCAACCAGTATTCGATTCAATCCGTTCCACTCACCCCTTGATAAAAATGGTGTGCGGAGGGCAGCGCTCTGTGGATGACTCTGCCCACCATGCTGCTCAGCTTGCTCCCTGCCTACGACCCCTCGCTTTCCAGATACCCTGGCGGGCCCTGCATGCTGCCCTGTGTGGGTTGTGGCCCCCAGTGGCCCACAGACAGAAGTGCTGGTGGTGATCTGGGTGCAGAGGCGGACCTGGCTCCTATGCCTTGAGGGGGCTTCTGGCTCCCATGGGTGAAGGCTCACAGGTGGATGTGTAGGCTCCGCTCTCTTCCTGCATGGCTCTGCTGTTCTGTCCTCAAACCGCATTCACACTCTAACCGTAACAGGACCTTCCTGGGGTGTGGCGAAGGGCAGCTGACCTTCCTTGTACTGTTCACACTTTCCATGAGCTCTTGTGTTCTTTTGAGTATTTCAGCGAGAACACAGAAGTTGAACGGCACTAAGTCTCATCAGTGATAAAGTAAAAGACGTCCTAAGCATTGAGTCACGGTGCCGGAGAAGTCTGAGGAGCCCATTTCGTCACAGTTTCCTGATGTGTCTGAGGCCCTGGAGCCCAGAGCCTGGTTCTCCTCGTCTTTCCCCATTCTAGGCCCCTGGTCATACAAAGAATTTTTAAGCTACGTTGAGATGTTTGGATTCTCATGCAGAGCTTCTTAAGAATTTCTGAAAGGGCAAGATGCTTTTCCAGGTGACACGGAGACCTAGAAGGAGGCCTTGGCCCCTGCACTGGTGGCCTCGGTGGGACGCATCTGGGGACATTCGTGTGCGCCTCTTCCTGTCCCTTCTTCCCTGTTTCTGGCCGGTACAAGAGAGCGAATACTTAGGTTGTCCAAGACCTGCATCTCCAGTTCTGAACACCCTGGAGCCGCCTGCTTCCAGTGGGCTGTGCCTGGGATGCTCAGGTCTCAGGATGGCCCTGCTGGCCCAGGCCTGCATGCCCCTTGGGGGGTCCCGGAGAGGGACACGGCTTTGTAACCCCAAAGGTGGGGTGACAGCATCCAATCTTCTCTTCATAGACCTCACGGGTTGAACCCTACATCTTGTCATGATAGTCTGGAATAATTGCGCACCCCATGCTGCTCTGCTCCATGTTCGGAAAGTCAAATTGTGATGTTTGTATGTGCCAGGACCTCACCGTTAACTTGTTTTCTTTAAAGCACTCAATCAGGTTCCAGGTGCCTCTTCGGGAGACACTGAGAGGGCTTCACATGAAGGTGCTCTGACTTGTGAACCCTAACGAAAGTGAGGCTCCTACCTTTCAAATTGCTTAAACAATGCTTTATTAATAGCAACTGTATAGCTTGCAGATTGCCTTTCTTCGTTAATAAGTAAATACATGCTGCTTTTATTATCTTGTCTGTTCCTTGATTGTTTTAGTTGATAAGTGACAAATTGAAAGAATATTTATTTGTTAGAGAACCAACTCTTGTCACTTATGCTATTTACTCTGAAGAACTTATTCCTCTGTCTAGGTGGGTTTATATTAGCAAAGATGTAATTTTCAGGAAATTCCAAAGGACACTTATTACTTTAAAGAAAATTAAATTATTAGGAAGTGAATTACTAGATATTCTTCTAATAAAATACTAGATTTCTGTCTTTTAGGAAGGCATCATAAAATCGTTACTATGTTATTTATAAGGGGGGTAAACCGAAACCTTGTGAAATAGTTGGGATCACATCTTCATATGCAGCAGAGAGAGTCGGAGGAACAGAAGGAAGAGAAAAATCAGGGAGGTGAGAACTTTCCGGGTGCCTGGTGCTGTTCCGAAGGGTGCTGCAGATGTGCCCTTGGCACCACCCTGCAGCGTGGCTCAGCCCCGGTGCTCCATACCCACTGCTCCGCTGCGTCACCTCAGCTCTTGGGGACCCTGATGAGAGATGACTCAGGGCGCGCCACTGGGGGCTTCTCGCCCTTAGCAAGCTTCAGTTGACAGCGTCTGGTGTCTCCAAAGTTTGCAGACCAGACAGCCAAGTGCAGTAGCTTACACCTGTGATTTCAGCTGCTCAGGAGGCTGAGGCAGGAGGTTTGAAAGTTTGAGACCAGTCTGGGAAACCTAGAAAGACTAAAACATTTTTTAAAAGGGCTGGAGATACAGCTCTTGCTGCCTGAGTTCAGTCCCTGATGCTGGGGGAAAAAAAGGCCAGCTTCCTGTCCTGAAAAGGCTTTTCAATACAACTGCAGATATGCACACATCACAGATGATCGCAGCCAGCGGATGGATCTCACAAGCACTTGCAGCCTTTCGTCAGATGGACGGAGCTGAATGTGCTTCCTGCGAGCTGGCCAAAGCGCGTCCACGTCAGAGGGAGAGCAAGGCTGCCTTTCCAGGAACGAGCCTGTCACCACTCAAAGCTCTGAAGGGAACTGAGAGATTCCAAAGGCAGATATGGCCCTCACTGTGCTCCCTGGGAATTCTCCGGACCTTGGCAAGTCTGCATGTCAGGCCCTAGGAAGCAGGTTCCCACATAGCCTTCACTGTGGCGGGCTGGCAGTTTCCTTAACTGTCCGAGATCTTTTCAGGGAGTCATAGACCTTCCAGGAAGTCCGAATGATGGCAGAGTCTAACATAGTTATCCTTCAGAAATTCATTTTATTGTTGCCATTTTATTTTTCCCCTGAAATGAAATTAGAAATAATCATTTAGTAGAAATCTAGATTCTCAAAATGCTTTTAGAAAGAATACAGAGAATGCTGTGTATGTTTTTAGTAAGAGACATCTGACTAACCACCCCACATGTTTTTTTCCATGACCTACTGGTTAAACTATGCAGTAAGAAAATAGGGCAGGCTGCCAGTTTTCAAATGGAACACACCACAATGACTCATTTTGTGTCATTTAATGTAAAATAAAAACATTTAGCATGTGGAAGTTAGTCATCAAAGGAATCACATTGGGTTTTTAAAAAATGAATTTGACTTTGCCAAACAAGCCAGATGCTGTTAGAATGGCTTCTTTCACACAGACCGCCCAACAAAATATATTTGGGGGTCCAGGCTGGGTCAGGCTGACCCCCGACTTGCTTTGATTGTCTTGCCTCAACCCCCTGAATGCTAGGATTACAGATATGCACCTCCACACCCACCTACAAGACCCCAACAAAATTAAAACAGGGTTTATGTCATTTGCTATAAAAATCTGAACCCTATTCTCATTTCTCTGGTTTTTATTATTTCAATGGGTTCAACTTGGAGAGCTCTCCCAGGTTGGTTTCCAATCTGGGCTTTACAAAAAGCGTGGACAGAAGCTCAGTGTAGCAGTGCCTGCTCTGGAAACCTGAGGGATGTTAGTGCCCTGCTGACAGGCTGGGCACAGCAAGTATGATGAAAGCGCTCCAGTGGAAGCCCAGGGCTTCTCAGCAGCTGCAGGGTTTTCATTATCCCTGGCTTTTAATTATTTTCTGCAAATACATTAAGTTCTTTTTCAAAATATTTTTATTTTAATAGAGTTAAAGCAGCAGCAGAGAGGTCAGGGCGAATTATGCCAGAGCCTGAGGGCGGCAGAGCTCTGAACCCACAGGCATTGTGGTTCACCACCTGTGAAACTGCTGTCTCTGGGACATCTACATGATTAACTCTTCTCAGAGCCATCACAGCTGGGTGTGGTGACGCACACCTATAGTCCCAGCACCTGGGCGGCTGAGGAAGTAGGGTCACCACAAGTTTGAGGCTAGCCTGGGCTGTGTAGTGAGTTTAAGGCTAGCCTGAACTCACAGTCTCGAAAGACAAAACAAAACAACCCCAAACACACAAACACACACACAGACACACACACATCATTTTGTGGACTTTGTCTCACCAAGATGGCTAGTTGTATGTATTTCTATGCCTGTTAGGACGCCGTGGTTCTTTATATCTTGTAACTCCACGAAGTTTTGTTTAAAAGTTATTACCTTACACATTTTAGAGAAAGTGGTATTTGATGCCTTAAATCTGGTTTTGGAGAGGCAGTTGAACAAGACAAAATATTGCCAGTAAAATAATTATCTTGGAACACTTTCTTCCAGGAGGGAAAATGGAAACTGCTAGTTGTTACTGAAATGTAAGATTTCAGGGTCAAGTAAATTATATATAACATTCATACCTGTAGGGCTTGTTTATGTATCTATGTCTCTAGGTAGCACATTTGATAATACAGTAGACTCTTTGAACACTGAATCCTAAGTTTGACCCCAAGAGACATTTTCTGGCTCAGTCACCCAGTTTTCCAAACCTCCTCATTAAGCTCCTACATTTGCCAAATAGAGCAAAAATGGCTGTCAGCTACCAAAAGCTGCATGAATCTGTCTTTCCTCTAATTTCTTGTCAGTTTTGCTTGGAGTAGCACAATCTGCCCCTTTACAGGACACAGGTAGCTGTCATTTGTGAGAATGAAGCTAGATCACTCCTGAAGTACAACCAGGAGTCAGAAGTCATAGATGATGTCCTCACAAAAAGTAGAGAAAGCAATATATATATATATATATATATATATACACACACACACACATATACATATACATACATACATATCTATCTCTATCTCTATCTGTATATATATTACACATGCAGTATTTCAAAATCATGTGGAGTTATTTTAAAAAGAGCCTAGGGGAGATCCTTAGCAGTCTTAGGCATCAGTCCTGCAGAACAAGAATTTACCTGTTACTTTCTTCCAGAAAAGAAGAGACAATCATTTTTTTAAGAAGTAGCAGTGGCAAACATAGTTGGGCTTGGTTCCTAGTGAGAATCATCCCAAGAGCTGCTCTTCCTTTTCCTCCTCTGAGCCTCAGTTCTTTCTGAACATAAATTGCAACCAGGGGTGTGCTGAGAGGCTCAGCTGGGCTGACTCCCAGGCCCCCCACTTTCAGGTGACACAGGAAGGCAATGTGTCATTTCTAGGAAGGGGGCTCTGGTAATCTCTGCAGAAGGCACATTATTTATTCTTACATTGTGAATCAGTAGAGCTGCATGAATAAACTCCTAATGCTCCGACACTACAAAAAGCAAAGCTCATAGAGGTGAAATTTCCCGTGTTCCAGCAGCAACTGTTTGCCTTTTGCAGACATTTGTTGCACAGCGTTAGAGATGGGAAAGCATTTGTGCCACATGGGAGACAAGGCTGCATGTCATTGCATGCCACTCCTGTGTTTTTTTTTTTTGTCACAAGCAAATGGAAACAATAAAGGCAAAAGAACTTGCTCACATTTGGAGAGGGAGCCAACTGGGCCTTTCCATAGAATGACTTGAGCACCATCCCTGTAAAGACAACCTTTTTTGCAAAATTCCTTGAAAACAAAGGCATTTCTCTAAGTGCAAAAATACGTATCATTTCACTGCCAGGGACAAGTGGATTTGCTATGAAAATGGTATAATTTCACCCTACATCAAATGTGCAAATTCTTGTGAAGTCTTCCCCATTGCATGTGAATGGGCCTGAAGTGAAAATTGGTAGTATCACACAGTGCCGTGCCAACCATCAGGAGGCAGAAAGCAAAAGTCTTCAGTGAACTTTCCCATTGCTAGTAAATGGGATTTTAGTTGTAATATAACAGTCATCAACACATCACATCTTACCAGCAAGCCAGCCGCACTGACTTTGTAGACAGCAGCTGGCCTGGGGCACCTTGGCAATTTGCGGCCACTTGTAACTTAGACCAAGCTCAGCCCTGCTCTTTGCTGATTTGTTGCTTTCCTTGGTGGCTGGCTGGAAGGAGAATAGAGGAATAGAGCGGAGTTAGGGCTGTAGGATAAGGCTATTGCAGCTCTGTGCAACCCTCCTGAGCTTTTAATAAATCCAGTCATTTCCTTCGGGGGCACATTTATCAAATTTGAATCAGCCTCACATATATAAGTCAGATTTCAATATTTTTCTATCAGTTGAAAACCATTCATGATTAAATACTAAAGCAACTACCCTCAAGTTCATCGCTTTCTCCAGAAATTTATTTCCTACTGGTTCACAAACAGCCTTAAGGGGATCCAGATGTTAATCAGCAGCGTGCATGCTTGTGATTGTCCTCAGGAGAGCTGGCATTTTCTGCCTACCAATAGCTTTTGTGGCCTGATGAAGTGTGGAGGTGAAGCTGCCTGTTTCTAATCAAGTTACGTAAAAGCTATCTGTCTGAACGATTGACAAACACTTGGAGACCGACTGGCAGGATTTATAAATAGGCATTTTATCTGGGTACTTATGCCAGCTTTGCAGAACAGGACATGATGATACAAAATGCAAATGTAGCTTTTTGTGAGCATAACCCTGAATGTCCATTGTTTTCCTGATTGTTCCCATAACTGAAGTATTGTTTTGTGAATCAAGAAGACAAAGGGGAAAACCATCCAACAACACAAAATAATTTGTTCTGTTTTGCCAGAGAATCACTTAGAAACTTTGACCAGCAGCTGTAGCATGTTTGTGTGGTCACCTCAACAACAGCCCAGGTGGGCTGTGGAGTGGCATGGAGAGATCTACGATTCTCCAACCCAGATCTGGGGGGACAGCATTTGGAAAGGGGAATCCAAACACACAAGTCTGTGCTACTGTGGATTATCGCTAACTCAGGAGCCCAAGTGCTCAGGTAAGTGGAGTTTGGACCCAACAGTGATTCCCAGTTTTCCTTAACCCAATGGCTCCAGTTGCTCCTGGCTCTGAGCCCATTTTGCCCCTTCTAAGGCTGAGGAAACAGAAATAAAGAGCAGAAGTTTTATTCTCAACACAATAAACTAAAATCTGCATAAATGATGTGGTTTGGGCCTGCACAGCCATAAACAACTGCAAGGCCAGATCAACAGAGTTTTCTGCGGCCAGAGCTGGTGGCAGTAAACGGACATAACAGAGACCACGAATGCTCGGCAAGGCTGTCACCAGATATACCGCTTTCTAATTCTGCAGATCATCACTGTGAAGCTACTCCTAATAGTGTGTCCTGCCCACGGCACCATGTGTGCAAATAGAAACATGAGCAGAAAGAAGTGCTCCGGCCACAGGGCCAAGAGCTCAGAGGAGAGAAGAGGAAAACCATATTAGAGGGCAGCTAAAATGTCGAATCTGTGTCAGGTCGGCACTGCTCATCGTCTGCAGAACATTGCAGCTGGAAGGACTTTGGAGGGTGCTGCCAGTATTGGGGAGACGGAGAGCGCCTCCAAGCTGCTGGTCCTAGAGCAGAAAGTGCCATCTTGAGAACTGAGGTTGGGTCCCAGCCACGTGCAGGAGCTCAGGAAGAGCAGGGCACCACACAGCTGTATGGAGCCAGTGTCCTGAAAGAACCCAGACTGCTGGAGAGACTGGGGGAGAGGAGCCAGCCTCCCGGGAGCCCCGGCTTACTGCTCCCAAAGTATAAGGCTTCCGCATGTCCCTGCTTGCCTTTGTATCACTCTTCCCTCTATCCCTTCTTTTTTTCTCTCTCCCTCCCTGCCTTTTGGCCTTCTCTAAGAACCTTTAAATCCGGTCTTTCATGAAAATAAAAACAAAACTAAACAAAACAAAACAAACCCTTCCTGGAACAATTTGTGCATCAACAAGGGATACTTCCTGATATGATTCTAAGCTTTCCTGTACACAGGAGGCACCCGGAAACTTGAGAAATGCATAGTCCTGGGCCTGAGTGCTTGAGGTGGGGACAGAATCCGCATCTTATCCAATCCATGGGGAGGAGAAGTTGATGGAGGTTGGAGAGGCTCTGACACGAGTTTGGGGCCAGTCAAGGAAAACATCCTAACTATCCATGGGGCACGGGCAGGTGGTAAGTGGCAGTTTCTGGGAATGAAAAGACAAAAAGCATTTTTGCTGTGTGCAAGGGCTCGTGTTCAAGTGTTCTCATGTTTTCTAATCACCAAGTTCTTAGGATTGATGGGACTGTTCTGGAGCCAGGACTCACTCCCCAAGACTGGAAGAAGGCCGAAGAGTGGAAGGCCAAACAAGTGGGTTGGAGGGGTGGCAGTGCCCCATGTTAAGTAAGCTGCCTTCAGCACTGATCAAATCTTGCTATTTTAAAGGTCACAGGAATAATGTCAGTACTGTGGTACACATATCAAGGACCAGAGTCATTTTGGGGGTGGTGAAAATAACCAAGTTCCCAGAGTTTTCTTATAGGTCTTTGTATGTACAAATAGGAAGACCTTGGGAACCAGGACAACGATCCTCCTTTCCACATGGAGTACATGACCAGCTACATGGCCAGCAGTGGCCACACCTCTCCGTCGTGTGTGCCCCACATCTAGTTAATGTGGAAATGGGAGCCATCTGTATCCCTGGCTAAAAGTGTGGAAATCCACAGGATATTAGTTCAGCTCAATAACAAGGACTCTTAGAGAAGATTAGTATTCAAGATAGGTCTTCATCCCATAAGTGGAATCTATATAGCTCGAGACAGGAATTTTTAGAAGACAGGAAATATGAAGAAAACTGATTTTTCAAAGACTTAATTCATGTATAGCCAGGCACCCTTATGCACCCACCCATATTGCTGCATATATCCAGGCATTCACTATTTTAGTGAATGGTGAGCATGCCAAGGTGGATGTAACACGTGTGACCCCAATACTTGTGTAATTCATAATGTGTGTTCATGGGGTGACATACCCAAAGCCTCCTAGAGGAAGGCGCTGTGTGGCCATGACCACCCAAACTCTAGTGCAACTCTAGGTTTTGGTCCCCCTTGGTGTAGGGTGGCAGAGGCACTGACAAGTCAATCAACCGACCTGATCCAGGACAAGGACAGTGTCCAGAGAGAGAGGGTAAGCCCAGAGGGCCAGAAGACCCAGGGAGGAAGTACGGACCTGGCAAGTAGCTTCAGGGATTTGAGTTACCCTCACACAGTGGCTGGGTGAGAGACAGCACAGGAGACAGCTGAAGAGAGGGTGTTGGCTAGACACGGACTCCCAGAGTTCAAGATAAGTTGAACCTCAGGCTGGGAAGGGTATGGGTCCTGCCCTCCACAGTGAGAAACCAGGCTTAGCAAGCGTTGACAGTAAGCCTAGCTGTCTGCTTGGATCCCTGTCCTGTGACCAAATCCAGCAGAGATCAGAGGGCTGATTGCTTTTCCCACCTATCGATGTGAGCAAGGACGTGTCTTTGCCTGGAAGTTTACCATGGCCTGGGGTGGATGGACGGAGGGGCCTTGGTGCAAGCATCCTCAAACCCTAAAATGAGAAAACTGTGACCTGCTAGATTCCAAGACTTCAGATACCAAAAAGAAACCATGCAATGAAAAACACAGGGGAATTTTTAAAAGACTCAATCTATACAAAAATTTTTAGAAATTATTTTTCTCATTTCATCAGTTTTTTAAAAAAATTTCTCCCTTTTTTCCTTTTGGTCTCTTTGTTCTTTTCCTTTAAAATGTTTTTTCTTCCTCCTTATCTTCCTTTTATTTCCTATATTTTGCTTTTGGCTTTCTTTTTTCTTGTTTTCCTTTTGTGCTTTTCTGTCACTGTTTTCTAAGACTATCAATTTCCTTTTACTCCTCAATAGGATCCCTCCTCTCATTTATCTCTGCCCTATCATTTTCCATCGATAAATTTTTCAAATTTTAATTTTCTCATTCTCTGGTTCTCCATCTCTTCTGGCTTTACCATCATAACCATTAAGCTTTATGAATGTTTAGATAGTTAACTCTATGTTACTGATGAATACTGTTTGACTGTTAGTGAAGGTAAAGCAGTTTCATTTAGTAGATATTTACTGTAAGTCAACATTTGTCTTAGTGTTTGTACTATAATTATATTATCTCTTTTCTATGGTTAAGGGTAGTACATCATTGGTTTTTAGTGTATGTCAATATCCAGTGTTCCTTGGATGCTATTATTGTTGTTGATTTTATTACTATACCTAATGTGACAAAATTGTTGCTAGTAATTTTTTTTCTGATGTCAATATCTGTATTGCCTTTGGGTCATTTTTTTTTTTTTTTTGTGGTACTGGTCATGGAACCCAGGGCCTTTCTACTGAGCTACATCCCCAGTCCACTTTTTTTTTAATACCAGGGATGGAACAATGACAAAATGTCTAAGAGAATGAATGTTCTAGCTGGGAATCCACACAGCCAAAGAAAAAGGAAGTCAGTAACAAGCAAATAATGTAAAGACAGGAATAAGTTAATATGTTTCAATAATAGCTTGTAATCTGAATGGTCTCACTTCCCCAATCAAAACAACAAAAAGACACAGATTGGCATAATGGATCAAGAGACAAAACCCAACAATGTACCGTATACAAAAAGAAATTCATAGACTAAAAGTCAAAGGATGGAAGATGATAGTCCATGCAACGAGATCCAAAAACAAGCAGAAATAGTTATCCCATTTTCAGACAAAGTTGACTTCAAGTAAAAACTGGTTAGCGGAGGCAAAGAAAGTCACTACATATTGGTAAGGGAACAGGAAGAGATAACAAATACATACTGGTAAGGGAACAGGAAGAGATAACAATTATCACCATATATGCACCAAACAACAGCACACCCAACTTCATCTTGGGTTTCAGCCCTTTCCTCAGACAGCTTTGCGACCTCCCGTCCTAGCCTTCTGAGCCCCCTTCCCTGCCTTCCCCTGGCTCTTTCTGCCTTAGTGGTACCACTGGCCACAGTGACCATGCTCTACAGACCTCTGCTGGCCCAGACTTGGATGCGAAGTCTGATGGCTCCTATTCATGAACGTGTGTGGAATGAATGTGAGATAGTGTAACCGAAAAGTTTTTAAAAGGTTGTTTAACCATGCAGTGAAGGCACCTGTCCTCTTTTGAAAGATGATATACTGAATCAAAATTCAGCTTTTTGTAAAGCTTCCTTGTCTCACATGCAGGACTGCATCCATCCATGGAATATTATGTGGCTTTATGACTCAAGCAGTGTGGAGGATATACTTCCTGAAAGGCGGCCAAAGCCACGTCGCTTGTGTTCCCTTCCTCACCGACTGCAACTTTCAGCACGCTGAGGCCCGGGGATGGAGAGGCTCCTCTCCGTCAGCCAGTGGGGAAGCCGTGTCAGCACCCTCACAAGTGCGTGATTTGTGGCCCAGCAGGGACAGGCTGGCTGGGAACCCCTGCCCTGGTGCCGGAGGCTAAGGGAAGATGGATGTGCTGGAGGAGAGACATCTGAATGTTCCTTATTAAATTAGTCCCACAGAGCACCAGAATTCTCATCCCATAAATCACTAGGAAAAGTAAACTCACTCCCAGGTTTGATTGCTGCGAGTTTGGCCTGTGGTGTCACAGATAACCCAAGAACAGCCAGCGTTTGTCTGACATAGTCGTCATGTTCAGCACGTTCAGTCTGCTGCTGCGCTGACGGACTCCAGACAGAGCCTCGCCTCTGGGCTGCTCTGAGGCTGCTCCGTCAGCCCTCGGTGCTTGTCCCGGAGGAGCCTCCACCCGCACAAGAGGAGAGGTAGGGCGAGTTCCCCTGCACCCCATGCTGAAACTACCTTCACCTCGTCTTGGTCTAAGAATCACGACCCAGGAAGAATCTCAATTCTACTGAAGCCACGTTTCTTCTCAATGACAAAGGTTAATTCTGAGGATCTCTTACGTGTCCTTGAATCTTCCTGGTTCTCCCTTTCCCGAGCTGGCCTTTTGGTTACTGCAGACAGCAGAATGGAAGGAACATTGACCTGGCTCCGGGACCGCCCAACTCAGGGCTGACCAGCAGAGGGTGCGCCTGAGCGGTGGCTTTCCCCTCCAGAAAACGGAAGGGACAGACGGGCAATCTCTCCAGTTACACCCAGCTACAGAAGTCTGATTTGGATTCAGTGGTGAAATATGATTAGACGAGAGGAGTCAGGGGAGCCAGAGTTTCACCTGGTTCCTGAAGTCCATCTCAGCAGGGCCTTTCTACAGATGTTCACCAGGATCTGTACCGGGGCTCACCTTTACCCTAGAGGCCCAAACTGAATCTCAACAGAGCCGCAAAAGGAAGTCGTCACAGGGCTGGCTTTGTGATAGCCAAAGAGTAGACGCGGCTCCTTGAAGAGGTAGTCAAAGGCTGGCTTTGAGTGTCATCTTGGGCTCTTGGGCCCATCCGCGGTGTAAGAAGCAGAGATCATGAACACGGAAGGGGAGGGGCACTCGCACTGCAGTGTCCACCCGTGCAGCCCTGTGCCGGATGCCTGCGTCTGTTGCTGTCTGTCTCCTGCAACACTCACAACCGGCCTGTGAAGCGGATTCCTTCTCTGTAACAGGTTCAGCTTTTACGAGCGGAGAAGCTGGGCTTCTGAGGGTGACAGATCTCGCCCAAGTCCACCCACCGCCTAAGTGGCAGAGCTGCTGTCGGTACCCAGGTGTGCCACCCTCGCGGCCCCTCCCTTTCCCATCGCACGGATGGACGCTTTGTGTGTTTTCCGTGCTGGGAAACGTCAGTGTTACCACTCATCCGGCCTCACAGGATTCTGGCAAGGGCTCACTTTACACTTTATTTGCTGCCTCCGAGGCTAAGTTCCTTGATGCCGGGGCTGGGCTGGGAGACTCTCCGCTGCACACTGGAGAGGCCCTCGCCTCTCGTCACTGGAAGGGGCCTGTCTCCCACTCCGGTGTGGCATTTGTTGCCTATTAGTTTGTTAGGGTTGCTTTACACTCCTACACCACAGCACTCAAGAAGGAGCGGTTACCCTGTTGCTCACGCTCTGGAGCCTGGGAAGTCCAGGCCCGAGGTCAGGGCCCTGGCCCTGGTGAGGGTCTTCTTACCCCATCCTCAGGTGGCCAAGGTGGAAGGACAAGAGGGTGCGAGCCCTCCCCCAGCCCCTGTGCGCAGCAGCCTCCTTCATCTCCCATGCCTGCCCCTGCCCCTCAATGGCCAAGGCCTGGACCCTGGAGGACCCTTTCAGACCACAGCCTCTGCCATCACAGAGCACCACAGCACGGTGGGCTCAGACAGCACAAACTACGAGCTCGTTCTGGAGACTGGAAGTCCAGGTATCAGCAAGAGTTCATGCCTCCCTAGGCTTTGAGAAGGCTCTGCCCCTCTCCTCTCCCTCATCCTGATGCTTTGCTGGAGCTATGGCCTGGAGCTTCTGGCTGCCTCTTGGCCCCCGGTTCACATGCTGAAACCAGATCACTAAGGAGACATGAGCAGGAGGTAGGGCCGTAGGGAGGAGACCTTAGGGAGGTTGGTGACCTTAGAAAAGAGGTGTCAGGCGGCAGCCTTACCCTTCCCACTGCAGGGGGACACAGTGGGGCACTGTTCACCAAGCAGGCCCTCACCAGACACCAGACCTCGACTAGGAATTCCCCGGCCTATAGAACCGCTGTGTTTCTGCTGTTTCCAGACCACTCAGTCTAAGCTAAGCTTTCACAGTGGCCTGAACAGACTAAGACAGCTGGCAGTATCTGCCATTCCTGTGCTTGTACAAACATCACCCTGATTTCTGCCTCGGTCTGTATGTTGCATTCTCCCTGTGAGCCTAGTCCAGATTTTCCCATTTTTATCAGGATATTGTTATATTGACTAGGGGCTCACCCTACTCTGGTGTGATCCCCTCCCAACTAATACATCTGGAATGCTCCTATTGCCAAACAAGATCACATTCTGAAGTGTTGGGGACTCAGGCCTTAGCATGTGAATTTGAGGACAGACAGCATTCCACCTCTAAGCATCAGTAACTGAAGCTCCCCACTTCACCCTCACAAGTACTTTGGGCACGAGCACCCTGCCATTAAAGATCACAGCTTCTTGATGGCTTGACTCCCTCCTTTTTATGTCTTTCTTCTTTCTTACTAACACTGAAGTCTGATATTAATGGAAAAACCATTAAAAAAGACTATTATCCTATGAGGTAAAGCGAATGCACTCAACTGTAAAAGGAAGACTTATCGATCAATTTCAGTTAAACCCTGCTTGTCTGACACTTTCCTGCTAAGAAATGTGTTTTTATTGCCTGGCCAGATAGTTCAGATTTCCGGTCAGTCTTAGTAAAGACCCCTTTTATAATGTTGATAAAATTTTATCACAGAGCTATGAAAACAAGATTAGATTTCATAACTCACATCAGGCCTTGAAGGGGATGCCTCTATAAATTTTACAAAGCTTATCAAGCTTTAATGCACCAGTACCTGTAATTTTTAAAAACAGAAACTTCTACTGAACTTCAGGTATACATAGATGTGCACAGAAATAAATGTATGCATGTGTGTCTGTGTTTACATGTGTGTCTACATAGACACAAAATTCTCTCTCCTCTTTCCCTCTCCCCTCCTCCCTCTGCCTCTCCCTTTCCCCTCCCTGTCTCTCTCCCCCACTCTCCTCACAGGAAAGAACACTTTCTTCACCACCTGCAAACAGAAGACTGACAGGCCCATTTTTTAGGTTGCTGACCGTCCCCAGTCAGACTAAGTAGGTGACGGTGGAATGGCCCTCCCTGCTTTTCAGAGGCAAGAAACACTTCTCAAAGTTGCACAAATGAAATAAATGTCATGGTATGGACTAGCACCATACAATCTTAGTGCGTATCTCTGGGGGTTGTACATTTTGGGTTCAAATACCAAGTATGAAGAATCATACAAAAGGGTATGACATTACTTACAAATGAATTGATGTTGAGGACATTGGCAGACCCAACAGGCTGTTTGGGTCACCTTCCTCCAAGGGCCATTCAAGACTCAGCTCACAAAATTACCTACCCCCCAAACGTTGTTCTTAAGGCCAGTTCATGGGGTTCACAGAATCCCCTGAAAAATACCAGTGAGCTTTCAAGAGAATGAGGGCTCGGTATAAAAGAAAATGTATCTCACTTCCAGGATCTTAAGGATGTGGGGGACAGAGGATCTGTCCCTCTTGGACAGGTGATTTCAGAGCACGCACAAAGGCAGAGTCTAACTTTCACTGCCCTGATGTTATTTTGTTACACTAAAAAGCAATAAATCATGGTGGATACAAGTTGTGCATCTAGGAATCTTAAGTGGGAAAAGAGAAAGAGACACAAATGTCCTGAAATAGTTGTGAGCATTCCTTGGAGAAAACCCCTTTACCTAGAAGGGAAAAGCTGATGAAGCTGACATTCTGACCATCACAAAGCTGTCGGGCAGAAGGAGCACACGCTGCTTTCCTTTTGTCTGCAGGAGAACAACAGGGAGAGCCACAGGCCTGGCTGGCTGGGCTGCGACTTGGCAGAGACTCATGGAGATGCCTCGAGTGAGCCCTCAGTCATGGGTCACCGTGGCCAGGGGCCCCCCAGCTGACCTCTGCGAGTCCCAGGCACCTGACTTCTATCTAAGACAGTGACACTGGCCAACATTCAGATAAACTTTTGACTGCTTTTCCTCCAAACTGTGTTGCCATTGCACTTCCGTTAATTAGGTCAAAGCTCACTGCACTCTGAGTCAGCAATCATGGACAAAATGCTTTGAGACTTTTTAAAGGTGTCATATTGAAACCTTCTACAACCTGTTGCGTTTTTCTGTGAACAGTGTATTGGATTATGAATTCGTGCCTCTGTGCTTGGCTGAAGTCCTCAGATGAGTTAAGAGGACGAGACTAGGAGCCAGAGAGGTACTGCAAGCTGGTGCCAGCTGTGTGTTACCCATGTTGTCCCCACGGCCCGCAAGGTGCCCGCAACACTGTAGGTGCTCATTAAATCTTTGTTAAGCATCAGATGAAGAGCTAGGTTTCCACTCTGGCTGTTCCCCTTAGTACCCAGGACATCAATTTCCTCATCTGTGAAACGAGAATAGTAATATTTCCCTCCAGTGCCCCACATTGTTTCTAATGTCAGCTTAGATAAAACACAGAAGAGCACTTCTATTTCATTTTATTTTTAAAGTTGAAGTAGTAGTCTCCATAATTAGGTATATATAAAGGAGTAAAAGTAATTTTCTCCCCATCCTTCTGCTTCTTAGTTGGGGAGGACCTTTGTAATGGATAACAGGAGAAAAACAAACAAGCTTGTTAACATGTATTCTTTCTGTTAGAGTGAGGCACACTTACAAATGGAGGTTTCCTTTCTAGGGGTGAGTTTCCCTTACAGCAGGGTCATTTCTGCCCTGTTTCCAGTTTCTGTGCCCACAGTTTCTCAAAATAACCAGCTCCAAATAAGCATTTTGCCAAAGAGGCATTGTCTTATTCCCTTTCCTCATTGCTAGGACAAAATACCCAACATCCAGAGTGAAAGGAGGAGGAGAGGTTTATTTTAGCTCACAGGTTGCAGAGGTTTCAGTCCGTAGTCACCTGGCTCCAAATTGGGGCAGCATCATAGAGGAGAAACAGTCCATGGCAGGGTAGGCAGGAAGCAGCTGACTTCCTTCTTCTTTCCTTTCTTAGTCCATCCAGGCCATCAGCCTATTCGTTGGTGCCACCCACATCTACAGTGGGTCTTTCCTCTTCAATAAATCCATCATCCACACCCAGAACCATGCTGAACCAAGCAGCGGACTAATCTAGTACCACAACCCCATGTCCCAGTCACTCCCAAATGCTCCATGTACAAGAGCATGAGGCTTTGGGGGAACATAGAGATATAGATAAATTTTGAGGGGACATCTAGATATAAGCCATAATGGGCATATTTTGGTATGGCATATTCTGTCTCTCACAGATCTCATGCAGATACAAAAGAAATCAATATCATTGTTTCATTGTAGTAGAAAAAAGAGATCATAGACTTAGCATTCCAAACAAGGCATTTTATTTGATGAAAATGTTAATTCTGACAAAGGAGGAGGAGTGTGTATAGCCACAAACTGTGAGAGGTCTGCCTTCACCACAGGTTAATGTATCCAGGTTGCAAGCTTTCTTATATTTGTGAGCACAACCTAAGACTTCTCAGAACTCCACTATGGGTGTTGGGGAGTCACAGGCCATTCGCTTTGCTTGTGGAGAAGAAGTCTTCTGATTCTATGGGGAAGGGAAAAGTGGAAGCTGCCCCTGAAAGCAAAAAATATTTTGAGGGGTGCTGATAACAGGTTTATAGGGTTATGGGTTTCTGAGAATCTGAGAGTCAAGGGCTACCTCAAGCCACAGGAAATGGGCATGGCCTACTCAGGCAACATGGGTTCCTGGAACTCCTGGTGCCAATGTAGTCAATGCCCCCTAGGTGCTGGCACCATGGGGTGGACCAGGCAGAGCCTTAGTCCTCTTGGACCACACAGTCCTAGTGAGGGCACCCACTCAATAAAAAGGGCACCTAATAAATAGTTAAGAAAACAATGAAGTAAATGCCAGGAAGGAGAAAACCTGGGGAAGGGCACAGAAAGGGCAACTGATATTTATATGTACATTGATACCAAAAAATCTTGTGTGAATAAATACGTGAATGGTGATGTAAAACATTTCATTAGCAGCACAGCTCATAATAGCTAAATCTTGGAAGTGGCCCATATGTCCATCAACAGATGCAGGAATAAAGAAAATGTGATATTCACACACAACAGAGTACTACTGTGCTATGAAGGAGGAAAAACTGGAGTCATTCGTAGGAAAATAGATATAGCTTGAGACTGTAATGTTAAGTGAGGTAAGTCAGACACAAGCTTAAATATCGCCTGGTTTCCTTTATATGAGAAACCCAAAATATAAATAAAGAACAAAATAAAAGATAAATGATAGGAAATAGGGAGATGGATCTTTCTCAGATGGGAAGAGGACCAAGAGACTGAGGGAGGGGAGGGGCAGTAGAGGAAGGGGAGGGAAAAATTAATGAAGATGTGCTACGTGCATGGACACCCCCCCCGCCACGGGATGCAAACATCATGCACTGCAGACATGAACTAATAAGGAAAAGGCATGTTAAGGGTAAAGGAAGAATAGAATCAAAATTTAGAAAACGTGCAAGTTTTAAAAGGGCAAAATAAATTCCACAAGGTCAATAAAGAAAACAATGATTCTGCAGGCTGCCAGACGTTGGCTGAACGCACTGTAATGGTGGAAAGATGACTTTGCAGTTGAGAGTCCACGCTGTCCCATGCTGCCTGGCTTCCTTTCAGCCTCGCTGTCTGAGCTCCCTGCATCCTCACGGCCAGCGGGTCAGATCTTGGGTGAGGGGCTCAGCTTCACGGACCTCCAGCCCCGCCAAACCCAAAGCAAGAGGGCTGCCTATGCCACCTGCAGCCCCCACGGCCCTGCGCAGACGCTACTCGAGGACTGCACAGAGGACTGGTGCTCCTGTAACCTGGGCCACAGCGGACACCGCCTGAAGGGTCACCTGAATCTGCGGCCCAGGCCATGCTCACTGGTATTGGGCTCAGAATGAGCTTTTGTCTTATTTCCACACCTGTATTATTTTATGTCCACACTGTGGTTGAGTTCATATTTCTCTCTTACAGCCCCAAGGCCCGTCACCCTACCAGCACTGTAGTGTTCTCCATCCACCCCAGGTTGGCAGAGGGAAGGGTTGGCGGACAGTATGAGGACCCCAGGGCTGGGGTCAGCGAGGAGCAGCCAGGGAGCCACCATGCAGTCATCTGGCCTCTGGATGCCCGTAGGCACATTTGCCTGCTCAATCCTCATAGCCATTGTTAAGTCCATTTGCATATGGAGAAACTGAGGCACTGCCGTTAAACAACTTGCCTCAAGTCTCATGGGTAAGAAGGGGCAGAAACATTAAGCCCCTTGCTGTTAACCACTGTCTACCTGTTTACTCAGAAGTATTTATTGACCCCTTACTATGTGCCAAATACTTTGCATTAAGCAGAGGAACCTTCCTTTCTGTCAGGAGAAAACAAAGTGCATAGAGGAGGAGGTGAATGCAAGTGAATGCAAACGCCAAGTGTGTTTACCCTCTTATTTCTCTGATTGAACTCCCCGGAGAAACAACCTTCTTCCCCTACCCCTGAGCTTCTGGACTCTCTCTGCTCTCTGCTTGAACTCCAGCGAATGCAAAGCTTGTATTCCTCCTGTTCCCGGAGCTTTCAGAACACCAAAACATTTGGTTTCAATTAAACCCACTGAGCGAGGCATTACAACTTGGCCTCCCCGTAGCCATCCCTCAAGGACTGGCTCCTCTGCCCTTGCTGCTTGTTGCAGTCTCAGAGGAGGACCCTCTCCAGGACAGGCCCGGCCCAGGGAGAAGGCCCCGAAGGGTTAGCATCCAGGTGCACACAGCAGGGCGGGCCCCTTGAGAATCCAGAGGAGAGGATTCAGAGTTGGGCCCAGAGGGTGTGCATGCAGAGAAGCCTTTTTCTTTTGCCTGAATTGAAATTATAGAGACCTTCTAGTGCCCAGAACTAGACAAGGATGCACAGGGCTGCCCCTGCACTATCACACTGACTCAGGCCCACCTTCTTGTCTTCTTTCTTTCTCCCTGAGGGAGGTGGTTTGCTTCTAAAGAGCTCACTGCTCGCTCTGCTTTTATGCCCTCACTCCCGAGGAGGAGCAGGGTTTGCTTTCACTGTTGCATCCCGGCCAGTTGTGCGAGGACAGCACAGACAGGCTGTTCATGTGCACCCCATGTGCTGAGGACCCTGGTGGACTTCACAGG